TTGGTCCTGCCCACAGAGAAAGTACTCCACACTCAGCACATCCTCCCAGCCAACACTGAAAACTGTTGTCAAGGCCCTTGCCTTAGCATAGGAGAATTTACTGACCTCTTCCATTAATTTAGCATTCATTGGCCTCTCATCTTGGGATCAGGGGACCTCAAATTATCACTTAACTTTGCCTCAAACAGATAATTTCAGAGGCAGCAAGTTAGTCATACTCATGACTAAATTCCTCTAAGAGGCCAGTCCAAATTGTGACATAGTCTCTTGGCTGTACTCATTTCACTGGCCTGCAGAGCAGAAAAGACTACTGCCATTTGACATCTGTTTGTCGGTATTTCTGAAATGATTTAATAATGTCAGTCCAGTCAAGTCACACCACAAGACTAATCAACAGAGCTGGCCCTAACTGGCCTTGGAAGAGAGGCTTAAGTCAAGTAAAAATTACCCTCCAGAGGAAAATAATCTTCTTCAATACCAGTTTAATCAGCAGCGTGTTACTACTCTGAAGAATGACAGCATTTGTAAAATCCCCATGCGAGAATGACTCGTGGGAGGAAGAGGTGACTAAGGAATTAAACTATCCACTGGAGAGCAAATTGTGGTTTGCTGGCTCCACTGGGAACAAAAGGTCTACAGCTCGCTGCCCGAGCTCGAAGAGGACATGACTTGCTGTCGGTATTTCCATGAAAGCTGTTATGTGATTCATTAGCTTTGCTGGCCCCTCTCTCCTCCCTCCCTTCCCCCCACACCATCATTAAACTCATCTGTTCTCTTGAGCTCTTGCTTGGCAGAAATGGTGTGCTGACATGTAACAGAGTTAAAATGAATGGCTCCCATGTTTAGAAGAAAGGAGAAAGGAAGAGAAGCAGATGAGAGACTCTAGAGAGAGTACCCAGAAAAGATCTGACTACACACCCCAAAAAAGAAAAACAGAAATCACAAGAAGTAATGTATTTCTACAATACTCTATCTTGAAAGTCTCTGTATGTTTTACAAGCTATATATTCCTACACCGAAGAATCCCCTCCTCAAACATAAAATGAAGCCACCCCGAAGCCAGGACAGAACAGACATAAGAAAACAGATCAATACTGGCTTAGTGTATGCAGTGACATTTGATATTCTCATCCAAGCCATGTAAGCATGTTTTACAAATAAGCACAGTCCCAAAAAAAGTCTAACCCTTGGATAACCCCACCCATCACCTTGTTCCAACTAGAGAAGTTAACATTTCCCATTCAACCGCTTCTTTCAAGAAAATTTTTGTATGTATTGAGTCATTTTTTCCACCTCTTCCCAAAGATATTAATCATCACATCACCTGCAGATGTTTAGAGGATAAACAAAACCCCACCATCACCGTGTCAACCAATGTCAAAGAATCTTAGTACTCCTGTTCAGAAATACAGGCTGCCTCACTATTTCCAAGGCAAACTAATGTCTGAAAGGCTTCTCTCAATAAATACTAGTGCACTGGATAACATTGTATTCTTCCATACAACTCCCATGAAATGCTCCCACAATTTCACAGGTGCTCTGGCCTGTGTTTGTGTATGCTGATGGGCTGCTTGAGGCAGCCAGTCTCAGAAGCGGAAAACAAACTCTACTGACAAACTGCAGCAATATTCACTATTGTTTTACATCTTTTTCTGTTTTACTTTACAGGTGTTTTCATTCTAAAAGCTCCACATGTTTTATAAATATAAATATTCAGAACACTCAGGTATAGCAGGAAAAGTGACTGCTTGCAAGTAGCAGAGTTTTGGCAAACAAGTGATGCAAACTTGGGTCTCACACCACAGAGGAAAAGTTCTTACAAATGATTGTAAAAGTGGTTTAAAATAAGTTTTAAATTAGAAGTCAGGAAAAGCCTATAGAATCTAACATTATTACAAGCAATCTCCTCAAATCCTTTTTAGACACTCTTACACTCTTAGCAAGACGTAGATTAACTTAAAAAGAGATATTAGGCTGTTACAGTCTTGTAAATCTTCTGTTCAAAACATACACATTAGATACCAGCAGTGGATTACTTTGTAAGAAAGACGCAATGTAGGATGTCTTCCCTTTCTCTGTCTTCACCTCTCCACAATCCCTTCCTCAGCTAGTTACATTTCTTTCCGATTCCCCTGTATTAACATGTTAGCTTCAGACTGCTCAGCTTGGGGGCAATAATTTCCTTCCTGTTCCTTGACAGCACTGACCAGCCCACCCAGAACTTGGGGTTATCACAGCTGTATCTTTATATCCCAAATCTTGATTGTTAGCTGTAGAGTCAGGATCACTCACATGGGCGCTGTCAGACTCAGGAAGTGTTGCTTCTGGGACCTGTATTATTTTATTTAGTTTTGAAACTAAAATATATCTTTGTCATAGAACTGTAGCCTTGTTAACCAAAAGCTGTGCATCCCCATGTCCTGTTTTTCCTATTTACACTCAACAGGAAAACCTGTTAAAGTACATCATACTCTCGTAAGTATATGAAAATAAGTATTTTACTCTAGGTTATAACCGATACCATAACAGAGGCATTTTAAAGACTTCAGTGTCCAGTGACACCAATAGGAGGAACAATTGTTTTAAAAATCTGTCCCCGGTACCCCAGGATGGTAAGTTTGGGGTGAAAGACTTACAGATGAACCATACAGTGTCCATAAAGTTTCCTGGAAAGGAAAGAAAAATAAACAAGATGACCCTGAATATCATACTCAGGGAAACAGGTCAAGATTTGATTGTCTGTAGTTAAAGCTGGTGCATGAGCTAGATCAATAAAGAAGCCTATTCCTGGGTTTTATTTTGGTTAGTCCAAAAGGACCAAACTTAAAGTACCACAGTTATTCAAGATGCAGGTATTCCTGAATGAGAATTGAATTAAGTTCATCCAAGCAGAAACTAAGCCCAACACAGATACCTCCATGTATCACATTCTAATGTAAAAAACAAGTTTTTGCATCCTAGTTGTCAAAAATCAACACAAACTCTGCTTCAGATGTCTTTACATTATGCTCTGACTTCCAAAGCCAGAGCGCTCACACACAACAAGGAGTACATTGTCAGAATTTTTTTTTGTCAGCAGGAATGTTCCTGAAACTTTTTTCATGATTAAACAGAGTTTTGAGCATGTAGTTCAATACAAAATGCTCTGTGTTTTTCAGTCATATTCATACCTTATGAACAGTGAGGACATATTAAAACAAAACAGTACAGCCTACACTTAAAAACTTAGAAGAGTTTTAAAACTGTTTAGGTGCAACAGAAGCATAACCTTTTCCCCTTCAATAAAAAAAAAAAGTCACAGGACAAGAGAAAACAAAGGATGAAAGAAATTTTCAAAACCCACAGGGGGTCTGCACGCTCATTTATCATCTATGTTAATAGTAATAAGCTGTTCGAATCCCACCACTGACCCTGCAAAAATCGGAGTCAGTTTTCTCAAACTCTGATCAGAAGTTAGCAGTGTACCTCCCCATACCTTTATCCATCTCTCCCTTAGTTTATCATCAGTATTATCCCTCCTAAAATGACAGTAACATGTTTAGTTCCAGCAAGACTTCTATAGCTGGCAGTGGCCAGTGAAATACAGATTTCAGGGGCTGGGGATGTAGGCAGCCGTACTTTCCAGCCTAAAGTTTAACTTTCCCTTAGGGCAGCATTTCTTCTGGTGACTGGATACTGGCAGCTTTTGTGTTCTTCATTAGCCTGCTGATTAACATACTGCTAGAGAGTTCTCCACTACACCTAACTGCCATTCCAGCACTCACTGGCAGATCTGTTGTGAGAGATCCTAGAGTAGCAATGCAGTGTTGTCTGCCTCTTGCTTTTCCTCACAATACTAGAGATCAGGTACATATGCATTTGCTTTTAAAACAATTGCTACATATCTAATCCGAAATTATAAGGAAACCCTGATCAAGCAATAACAACTTTAATGGAATTTTGTGAATGAAATTCCCATGGCAACAGTAAGAAACAGAGTGCCAGGAAATACAACCGATTCCAGTTTTCTGTACATTAGAGGGTTCTAAGCTCGAACAGAAACTAATAAAAAACCAGCAGAAATAAGCGGGCCTACTGTTTTTTCCTCATTCAGCATTTGAGAAACAAGCAAAATAAATCAAAAGGCAACCAGAACAGTACTATGGCATCAGAAACAAATTACCAGCCTGCCGAGTGTCCAGTATAGACATTTAGCACAAGGGGAATTAGATATACCTGATACTAGCTCTTGGCTTTCTATAAAATCTGCTTACTGATTAACATGCAAAGCACTATACTTCTGAAAGGACAATGGTGGGAAGACCTTCCACAAAGGCATCGTTTTAAATTCTAAGGCCTGGAAATTTCAGGCCTCAGGCCACGAACAATGGTAAAGGCTAACACAGCCAAGCTGCAGATCCTGACAAGTTGTATGTACATCACTAGATAAGCTTTGTAACTTTTCAGCTGCATCATGCAGACTACGCAAAATACTATCTGTCAGGCATTAAGGTCCCTCCCTTGTAGGCATTCTGTTCCAACCAGCAAAGGATTTCTTTCAGAAAAGCTTCCCTAAGGACGGTGCTGTGATCTCAGGTACGGAGCAGTAACAAATAGCATTTACAAGGCACAAGGTAAACAGCAGTAATTTCTCCAGCAGCCTCGAAGCCATCAGCATTAGCTATGACAACAGCCTCTGTTTCCGCTCAGTGGGACACTGCGGTTAAACCCCCCACCCCGAGAACAAAACCCCGTTCCCTGCAGTAACAGCCCCCAAAGCGGTGCTGTGATCTCAGGTACGGAGCAGTAACAAATAGCATTTACAAGGCACAAGGTAAACAGCAGTAATTTCTCCAGCAGCCTCGAAGCCATCAGCATTAGCTATGACAACAGCCTCTGTTTCCGCTCAGTGGGACACTGCGGTTAAACCCCCCACCCCGAGAACAAAACCCCATTCCCTGCAGTAACAGCCCCCAAAACCGCAGGCAGCAACCCCGGCATTTCGCACGGTCCTTACAGACCTTGGTCGTGCTCCTCCGCTCGCCCAGGCTGGTTGCCCATCTTCGGTCACTCCCCCGGCTCTTCCCCGAGCTCCTCTAGGACCCCGGCGGCCCGCTCATGCTCGGTGCCAGAGGCGGACCTGCCTCTATCTGCTTTTAACGTCTACGGTTCAGTCAACTTAAAAAGGGAAAAAAAAAAGTCAGCTCCTTCCTAGTTCCTGGCACCAGGAACAGAGCCTGCTGCTCATGCTGAAGCAGCTGTGGCTCTCCCTCCTACCTCATTACAATATTATGCACTGAAGGCCGGCCTGTGCAGTTAATTAGCTGCCTGACTGCTGGAATAAAAGGAGGGGGAGAAAGAGAGGCAGAGAAAGAGCGAGCAGCTCGCCGGTAAAGAAAGAGTGACTCAACGAGCAGTGCAGGCCACCCAGGGGCAGCAAGCGCACACTACAAGCGGTTCGAAGAAAGGCACCAAGCTCCACCACAAACGAGCTTAGCTTGGAAACTTAAGCAGGGCTTCAGTGCCCCAGCGCACCCACGGCTGCAGAGGGGTGAATGGCCAGAGAGCTGTTTCTAGGCCATACACTAGTATTCAAATTAGTACACTAAATTTCAGAACAAAATACTGAAATGCAGCCGAGAGCGACGACGGGCAGAAGGACCCTCAGCGAAGACAAGAGCAGCCAAATGCCTCCAAGCAATGACAAAATTTATTTTGCCCCAATGCACAACACCTGAAGCATGCTTACCATGGAGCAAACGGACCCTGCCCATAGATCTAAGTACACTGTTGCGTACAGATATACTTAGGTGTCTGGTTAAAGGCAGCTCTTAACTAAGCTCTCACAAGAATTAGGGGACCAAATTTCAGAAACACTCAGCATCTTCTGAAAACTTAGATACCCAAACGATACTGACATGGAGATTGAACTCCTCTGAAAACCTGACCATGATTGTGAGCATAAACCCTTTCTGAAAAATCCTGCCTATCAGATCTGTTCCGACATCCTCTAGGGCTATTCCTGGGTAAGCCTGAGCATCCCCAGCTCTTCTTAGCCTCAGCTGGTGCTGAGAGTAGTCAGTATATTGTTTTTATAATATAGATGTGAACCTGCAATGTACAGGATACACTGAATACTATTAAAAAGTAATTCTTGCTTGAAGTAAGGACATGGTGGTTTATTATTCCTAAAAAACTGTTACAGTGATTTCCAAAATTCCCCTCATGCTAGTTCCTCACAAGCACTGAAAAAAAAACACCAAACCCAACCACACCTGATAGCTACTACTACATCTAGAAGCTGCAACCACAAATACAATCTACATACTGTATCTCTATCATCAATATTTTTGACCGTGACTTGTACTGCAAGAGCAGCTGCATGAGGCAGGCCTACCCACAGAGGCTGGCCAACAGCCGATCTTTCAAAGAAAGAAATCAAGATGCTCCTCACTAATGGAGTCATGATGTACCTGAGAAGCAAGAATACTGAATTACTCCAGTGATCAGTTTCCATTACATGGATAATTAACAGAATCATCATCTTAAAGTCTTGATTTCAACAAAGACGGTTAAAAACAAATTCAGAAATAAACTATTGTGTCCTAGGCTCAAAACAGATTGAAAATAAAACATACAGAAATTAATCTAGGTAGTTGTGAATCCATTGTTTCAAATAAAAAAATCTGGAGATCATTCAATACGATAGAAACAGAATTTTGCTAATATTTCAGTATAACAGGGTGAATTAGTTGTCAATTTTAAATTTTTCATTGTTCTTGCTCTAACACTTTATGGATGAAGTTAAAAGTTTTTATACAGCTGTCTATATTTGGATGACATTAAACAAAATTCCTGTCTACTTCTATCTTATGACATGCCAAGTATAAAATGCTTTGTTTAATGAATAAGCCATATAAGTTCTATAAAAAAGGATCATTGATAGTGCATTCTTTTTCTAAAAGTCATCTTACTAGGATGGGTACTCAGCTTGCCCTTCTCAAAGGTACAGATACAAATGTCCTCCAACTGCTGTTGAAACCTATCTCCAAGGCAAAGCGATTTTCTTCTGTTATAGACTAAAGAATGACTTCTGCTTTTCTTCAACAGGATTCACCAGAGGGACTGCATTAGCTCAGATAATCTCTTGGGTTGATAAATCCTGACATTGAGCATATATTATTTCAACACCTGCTTTCTATTCCTGTAACACAAAAGGGAATAGTGTAACAGGGTCCCAGTACAGTATGGGGTGCAAATCTGGAGTAATTATAAAATATAATCACCGAGTCAGAGCAAACACACTTGAAATCCGAGCACTGTAAAAGAGTCATGACTGGAAGAACCAATCTGTTATTTTCGACAGTGGCACGAAACATAAATCAGAACATTCTAACGCCATGATAGGGAGAATGATGTCAGGCGAAAGACTTCTTGCCCAAGTCCACAGTGAAAGGTAAGGTATGAATCTGAAAATACAGCTATAGCCTGAGCAGAAGTCATGGATAAGAGATGACTGTTTATGGAGCTTGCAGCTCAAACTGAGGAAAAAGAAAAAGGAATAATGGCAAGCATGACTTCTAGCATGGTGACTAGGTGATAAATTACGACAGATGCATGGCTAAATCTTTTGGCAACTATTTATTATCTGAACATTTTACATTATTTTCCCTTCCTCCTCAGTAATAAAGGTATAAAAATAAATGAATGAACAATTTCATCTCTATAAAGTAGATTAGCTGGTTTCTTCCTAGGCACTATCCACTTGTGGGACTGCCAATAAAACCCTACAAACACCCCTTTTCTGTATAGTGAGAATGGGAATTAATTACCGAAGGTGTGACATGCATAATTCTTTCAACTCACTAGTCAAATGACAGGACTTATTTGCCAGGCATAATCTTTCCTCAGACCCTACTCTCACAACACAGCACATTAATTAGCATAACTTCTGAAAGTTCAAATTGTAATACATCCTCAAAAGAAGACGCCACAGAATGATCTCAGATTTCCAGTGGCCAAATAGCTGACAGTCTCTTCAGAAGGCTAAGGTCTAAAGAAGTTACAGATGCTGAGCAGGACCTCCAGGGGCTGGACCTTCTGGTGAAGACTGAACTAAACTGAATGGGCCCTAAAGGTGGACACTGACTATCAATACCAGTGTTCACACTGTCATGCTCTATTTCTTCCATTAATGCTAAAATTTTATGAGCACTAAGTATATATGTAGGAGAGAAAAGAAATCTACAGAGATGAGTATATCATGCACAGTACTGGACCCCAAAGCATTAGGAATATAATATCTATGTTGAAACCCAGAAGAAAGAGCAAATTTATTTTTAACCATGCTAAAAACAATTTTTTTGTTGTGAGGATGCTTGGTGAGGTCATAGTTAAGTTCATGGCACAGAACTGCAGCCTTCCAGGTATCCATCTGAGATACAGCTGCCAATCCATCCCTCTTACTTTACAGTATTAAAATCTAATGTAAGCCAAAAGCTGCTGAAAAAAACAGTGGAAAAAAAAATATACAAGGAATGCCAAGCCCTCTCCTGATATGCATACTTGTTAGACCAGGCCAGCTTTGCATTCTTTTCTTTTGCTCCTTCCCTCCCATTTTTTAAGTGCAAACACAATGGCACTCTGCCAAGGCATTTTGGCTGTGATACATTTAGGTCTAGAGAATTTGTGTTAAGGATCATTTCTCTTCAAACCAGCTGAAGGAAAGCTGATAATTAACCTAGGGCAGGTAGTCAACGCAAGGTTGTGTTGACTTTGCTGAACAACTTCACTAAAGAAGCCTGAAAAGAAATGAAAACAAACTAGAGATCACAGATTTGTGCTATTCCTAGACCATCCATGCATGCTCCCCTTTCTGTTTAGGTATCCCTAGCAAGGCTTTTGTGATCATCACAGTTTGCTTACAGCTGTAATGGATCTTCCCTATATGTGTTGGCTTGAGTCAATTAACTGTCAACAATTTAATGAGTCAAGTCATTACAGTCTTTAAGATTTAGCATTGCAGTATCCCTACCGCACACTGAATCCTCTTAACTGGCTCAGGTCCCAGGGTGGTAAACATGTGCCAACAAAGTCATTCTCAGGGAAATATACAACAGAGAAAAGGGTCTCTGTTTCATAATTGTTTTAACAAGAAGTTGCATGCAAAATCTTAGAATGTGTTAATAGAGATTCAGTGCAGTAAATGTAAATTGTGCAGTAGATTAGGACAGCAACAAAACTGAAAAAGGTACATGCTGCAGACAGTGTTGTCAGCAGAAGTTAGTTCTTGCTTGTTTAATAATGCAAAACGACTGCAAAAAGCCTGTGGATGTCTCTCAGAGAAACTGTTATCCTTAACAGGATCAGGTATCAGAAATCCCAATAGACAGCCACTAAAATGCATTGCTCTCACTCCATTCCCGGTTATGGAAAAGGTTCATATAATACAGTCAGCCACGGAACAAAAGAATAATTATGTCAGTCAACCTTCACATGCCACCTTCAGAACAAGATCAATAGATCTCTAGTTCAAGGAATCATGGGACTGAGATCTCAAGCCAACAGATAGAGTTTAATGATAAGACCACTGCTATTTTTTCATTAAAGAACTAGTGAGCTCCTTCTGCGCTACTGGAATAAGCGCCTTTTCCAATTAAAATATCCTACCAGACTAACATATTTATCAAAGGGGAAAAAGAGTCCTGAAGAACAGTCACGTGAAGCAGTACCCATTCCAAGCCATTCTAAGATGTAGAACTGTCCATGGCTTACAGAAAGAAAGAGCAAAGATTAGAACAACATGAAAATTTAACATGGCAAACATAATACAGGAACTTTTTCAGCAAAGGCATCAGAAGTGAACATATGCATTTGAGTGTGCAGGCGATCGCAAGGGAAGAAAAAACCCCAGTGTAATAAGAAATAAGAGAAACTTGACAAGTAGCTGCCATAAATGGAATCTGGAATGCCAAATTTGATCTACCTCAATTCTTGAGCTTTCACTTCAGAGGTTAGTGGGTGAAATCTTCTAAAATGGTGCTGAAACTTAGTCTGATTACTTGATACCTGGGGAAATCGCAGACAGAGAAAATATTTTGCTAAATAATGTCAGAGAGATTAAGATTCAGATTCACATTTGCACCAATATGTTACAAACAACCATGAAGATATGTACAAGTGTGTGTAGATGTCAGTATGCATATCCAGCTACATGTAGAGCTATAGATGTAAGTGTAAAGATATATTTCCACGTTGTTTTGCATATTAAATTCCTGCAGCACTTCTTGCCTATTTGAATGACATCTTGACAAAATAATTTTTTTGA